GGGAATGAGCTACAGCCACAACATCATTGGACCAGGGAAGATGATCATCACCTCGAAAGAGCTATATTGGAACACCACTAGCCTTAGGATACAATTGTAAAACAGAGAAATCCAGATGCCGACAGCTGTCCCGAATAGAAACATAACAGAAGTTGCCCTAAATACGAATAAATAACATATATATAAACTTAGAGTAAGGATGAGCGGACCCCAATCTAAATAGGAGGGAAACCAACGCTTGAAAGGACTAGTATGTCCCTATTTTGACTAGAACGAACCGGTCCTAGGGAAAATCAACGACACTTGTCGCGTCTAGGGAAAAAGACGCCCTGCATCAGCCAGTTTGCGAGAGCAGAAGTCCAAGTGTGGATGGCGGGGGTCGGAAGGCTAAAGCGTGGTTGTGGTGAGAGATTGAAATAGGGAAAGGAGGGAGGTATGGTTGGGGGGCAGGAAAATGTGAAGGGTGGTTTCCATATGATAGCAGTAGGCAGCAAAGAAATAAAGAGTGTGACGGATTGTAAGGTGGAGTTGTAGTTGAAGGTGGGTATTGATCGGGTCTGGAGGAGCTACGATCGGGGTCTACAGGGAGGAGACGACGAGATGGAGGGAGTTATCGGCTATAGAAAAACAGCAGGGAGAGAGGAGAGGTGTGGCGTCTAGGGAAGTGGACTACAAGTACACAAAAAATGTTCATTGGAGTGGCTGCAGCAATTACGACAACGACAACGATGAAGAAAATGTTGAGGAGAAGAAAAGTCGATAATAAATAATCCCTCGAGAACGAGCTGCAGTCGGGGCACCACACAACTTGAAAGAAGATCGCAACCTTGGATGAGCAACAACCACAGCACCACCCGCCTTTGGAAGTGAGAAATCAAGACACCGAGAGCTGTCCTGAACAAAAAAAACACAACAAAAGATGCCCTAAATACGAAGAAATAACATATATATAGATCTAAGGTAAAAAGGAGTGGGTCATGCTCCAAATAGAAAGGAAACTCATGCTTCAAAGGTCATTCCCTCATTTACCTGGACAGAATTGAACTTGGGGAAAATCAGAGGCACTTACCGCATCTTGGCAAAAGATGCCCCACGTCAACTAGTTTGTGAGAGCAAAAGCCCATGAATCGAACAGAAGTTGATTGTACCCATAAAAGATGGGTCATGTCGTGTGTGCGTTGATAGCAAGGTCGTGAACAAGATCGCTATCAAGTACTAATTTCTCATTCCGAGATTGCATGATTTACTTAATTAGCTACATAGATCCAACGCCTTCTCCAAGATTGACTTATACGGTGGTTATAATCAAATCAGGTTGACATCAAGAGATGAGTGGACAATCACGCCCCTTAGACTATCTAATGCACAAACACTTTCATGATGTTGATGAATCGGGTTTTCCAAACTTTTGCTGAGAAATTTGTGGTTGTGTACTTTGACAATGTATTGACATACAACCGTTCAAAGGATGAACACTTACAGTATTTGCGACGAGTGTTTTGAATTCCTCATACGTAACAGTTGTATGGCCACCCAAAAATTTTTCATTTTTTGAAATCGTAGACATGCTTCTTAGGGTACAGTATCTCAACTGCCAGCATTGAGATAGATCATGTGAAGGTCTAGGGTATTGCAAACTAGCCCAAGCCACAGTCATTTACACAAATATAATAGTTTCATGAATTGATGTCTTTTAAAAAAGATTTAGCAAAAATTTCAACTCAATCAAGACGTCAAGACGTCCTTAACAAAGCTTCTCGAGCAGATAACTTCACATGATCAGATGACGCACAGACCAACCTTGAAGCTTTAAAGAAACAAGTTGCTCAGCCCTAGTCCTCGCATCTCTAATGTAGAAATTGGATCTATGTTGAGTCAAGATGGACAACCTATTAACTTCTTCAATGAGAGGCTAAATGTGTTCAGAAGAAAGCATTCTATTTATACTAAGGAGTTCTATGCTATAATGAAAGTCTCAATCAGTGCATTTGTTATCTACTGGAAAATTAGTTTAATGTACACTGATTATGAAACCCTGATATTCTTAAATAACCAGAATAAGCAAAGGGAAGACCCACCTAGTGAGTGGAATTCCTCTTAATTTTTATTTTATGCTCAAGCGCAAGATGGTCAGTGAGAACAAATAGCAAATGTGTTGAACTGATGTCTTTTGTTGATCCCTACAATACAATCAAAAGCAATTGGAATTGAGGTATTAAATGATACGTATATTGGATGATTTGAGATTGTTGTCAGGACAGACTATTATAGTAATTTCGCATGCTAGACAACTACTTTTTCTACCTGATTAGACGATGCATTCTCAAGAGTTCACTCAGAGATGCTATTTACATGAGACAACAAAAATAAGGTAGAGACAAGAATAAAATGTAGAGCATGAAATTTGCCAGTGTAGAGCATGCCTTTTTAGACAGTGTAGCGTATGTCAAGTTAGACAATGTAAATTGGCTAAGACACCGGGACAAAATATAGGCCTATTCAAAAGACATCTTCGTTGAATGCGAGCATGAACTTTATGGTAGGTTTGCGACGGACACAGCAGAGTAATGCTTTTATTATTGTAGTGATAGACCGCCTTGCCAAGAATGACATGTTGTTCTTTGTCACAAGATAATGTATGTATCACATTGCAAATTTGTAATTAAAAGAAATACTTCACCCACATAATATACTGTCACCATCACTTCAAACAAAGACAATTTTTTAGCCATTTTTGGAGGACTTTATAGATTAGTACAACCCTTTATTTCAATTCACTAGGACACCAACAGTTAAATTATTAGATAGAGATGGTGAATCGTGATTTGAGAAACCTACTTAACGTGTTCTGTGAGAAAGCATCAGCAATCACACAGCAAGATTTGATTCTTCCGCAAGTTGAGTTTGCCTACAATTGGTCCACTAATCAGTCCACATGCCAACCATTTGAGAATGTATACGGGCAAAATCATTTTACTCGATAGAAATAAGTGTTGTTATTTCTAGATTCTGAGCTTTACACGAATACAAATATTAAGTTCGAGATATTTAGATCTTACAAATATATGCAAATAAAAATTGCTAAGCAAAATGCTAAATATCACAAGCAGGCAAACAAGTTCAAGAAAACTCAGATCTTTAAGGAATGTGATTTGGTATGAATCAGTTTGAGGAATGAGAGATTTCTTATAGATTCTTTTAGGAAACATGAGTTTAAATCTAATGGTTCATTTAGAATCATCAAAAGATTAACGATAATGCATATAAAATTAATTTATCAGAACACTACAATATTTCTCCTAGATTTAATGTCACTAATTTGTCACCATACTTGTCACCATACTACAAGGATCTGGGTATTTACAACAAAGAAAGTGAAAACTTTCCTACCCGAGAAAAGTACGAAGCGATTCTGCATCCTATGATCCCCTCTTATGCGAGATCGAGATCAGAAACGACTCGAATCAAAGCAGAAAATTCAAGCCTACAAACTACCTACCATAAGGGGTAGGCCCTTGTTTTATAATATTTGAAATAAAATTAGGGTTATTTTAAGGGAGGCTTTTATATGTTATTATTTTTTTCTGGTTTTGGACTTTTGGCTTTGATTTGACATAATAAAAGATTTGTTTTGTCTGAAATTATCCTATTTGGTGAGTTGTACTTCGGTAAAAGCAGGTGGTGGAGCCTTTCTTGGCCCATTCTTCGCTGCTCGAGTTGCTGGCAGCCCACATCCTTCTTGTTTTCAGCCCAGAAAGTTCCAAACTCCACCGAAGTCGCATATCTCTTTCTATTGCTATCCATAACTTCTCTATGCTAAATCTGATCCTTGAACACCTAGAAATCCTAGAACAATGTCAATCGAAAAAGAAAAAATATATGAAAGAAACTAAAGATTTGTATATATATCAACTATATAAAAAGCTTCTTAAAAGTTTTGTAATTCATTTGATTATTTCAATTATGTGCACTTTTGTATTAAATATTATAATAGATTTATTAAAAGATGTTGATGAATAGTGTATATTTTATGACAATCTCACTTGATCCTCATTAGTGAAGTCAGGATCAGTGTTGCAGGTACTATATTTGAATGAATCATTTACCTTTGTTATGCCGCTTGTTTGAATAGGAAAGATTAAAATAAGGCATGAAAGAGCGAAAGCACTGTTGTGGGAGATCAAAATCAGCAAAATAGCAGGTTAAAGTGTGCTAGTGTTGGCGATCACAGAGTTGACGAACGATGCAAGTATGAGAGAAATGTCAGATTGGTGGGAAAAAATTTGCGTACATAAGACGTACGCAGAGTTGCGTACGTCTGTAACCTGCAAACAGGTTACAGGGAGGATTTTAGGAGGTTATAACCGCGTTATTCCCCCTGTAACCTCCCTGTAACCTACCTGTACCTTCGAGTCAGTTTCGCGCTTCTGTCTGTTTTCATATATAGGTAGGTTACAGGGAGGTTACAGGGAGGTTATAGGGTGTATAACGCGGTTATAACCTCCTGAAATCCTCCCTGTAACCTGTTTGCAGGTTACAGACGTACGCAACTCTGCGTACGTCTTATGTACGCAAATTTTTTCCCAGATGGTGGGTGATCTCATCAACATCTTTTATAGGCACACTTGAGGGGGGAAGAGAATGTTGCAAGTCAAATGGGTTAGCTAGACTCTGGATGCCAGAAGGATCACATGAGCTTAAAGGAGGCATGGAAATCAATTGAGTGTCCAAGATAGAGATTATGACAGAGAGAGAGAGAGGGAGGGGGGTGTTTCTTTATCTTTTTAATTTTTTGGTCAACATAGTTATGCTAAGGCTTAATACTCATGAGCCTCTCAAATAGTCGAATCATCCCTTCAAAATTATTTTCCTACGTTTCACCAAAATTGAAGAACCATGAGACAGGAAATAACATTAAAAAAAGCCTTGAAGCAGAATGACAATTTGTAATGAGTCAAATCTAAAGCAACTATCGTTATGCAAGAACAAGAAAATAATACCTTCTTGTTTACTTCCATTCACAAAGATAATATTTGAACGATTAGCGCCTCCCTGAAGCTTATAGACTCGAACCTGCAAAGAACGCAAGAAAACTGATAAAACACCACTAATTTATGGTTATTCAACCTTCAGGAAATACGCTGCAATCAGAAATATGCTCTTACAAGACCAAACTCATTCCCAACAACCAAGCTCAAATTTAAGAAATAGAATTCCAATGCTGATACCGAAGCGCCTTGGCCATCAACTTCAATATCTGTAATCTGCAAAATTAAAACAAAGACTAAATTTTCAATAAAATCTGAGAGAAGAATGCTTCAGAAACAAATAGCACTGTTCGTACCTTATCATCAAAAACTAGCATTTGTGCCAGAATGGGATGTGTAGCATCCCATATTCTAATAGATCCATCTTGATAACCTGCTATATATAGTCTATCAATGCCATTTTCTTCAGAAACGGTTGCTTCACCAGGAACTCCACCAGTCAAAGGCCACTTCATACTGGTTGACAATGTTGGCGTTATATTTCGCTTCGCAAAGGCTTTCTACAAAGAAGATGATGGGAGAGAGAAATGAAAGCCGGGAAAATTATTCCAAAATAACAAAGACAGGCATTTCCAAAACTTACTGCAATAATTTGAAGGGGCAAGCACATGCATAGCACACAATTCCTATGTATTTACATATCTCACATCTAAACATTCATATTTACAAAAATAGCACTTTGATACTTTGAACATATGCATGAAAAAGTGTATTTGGCTTTTAAAAAGTAGTAATCGTGCTATTCTTGGTATAATATTTAACATTTGAGTGCCATGTGTGTAAATATGAAAGTTTAGGTGTGAGACATGTAAACACATTAGAATTGTGTGCCATGTATGTAAATTTTCCTAATTTGAAATAATACCTTTAACAAAGCCTTGGAAGAATTCTGGCCCATTGGTAGTAAACATAGCTTTGTAACAGTAATGTGTGGATCAATAGTTGGTACTACAACAGGAAACTTTTCAGCCAAAGCTTGAACATCACCATCTGAAGATTTCATAATGGAAAGTGCAGCACCATCATAGACATTTACTTGACCAGGGTTAGTTAATACAAAAAGTGCAGCAGTAGAGTTATGATTTGCAGGTCCAGCATCGGGTACTAAAATCATATCTGCAAAGGATCCATTAAGATTTAGTTCTACATCAGAGCTACATCTTATGGTATCTATGCCAGCAGACCACACAAGATTCAGAACCTGCAAGACAACATAGTTATGATGATTAAGTAGAATCTAGGCTAATAACATTTTTCTAAACTAGAGATTTAGTCAAAATTTTAGATCCAAATTTTCACAAAAAAAAAGAGAAATAACAACAGCTATATGAGTCCTGCATATTAATTCTTAATGAGTGCACTATGATGTGTAAAATTTATCAATATTTTTATGATACTTCAAGTCAGTAAATTTTCTTTTAATCTACTATGTTGTCCTTCTTAGTTTTTGATGATAATGCCATCTACTCAACTTATACGAGCCTCTTTAGCCATTCATTGTAACAGGTGAGAAGTGCCACCAATTACCACATTTGAATCTTTTTTAATATCAATTTAGTTGGGACTATTTCATTTGTATGTACCTATCATTGTCCCTATGTATGAGTTTGTTATTTGCCAGGTGTAAGATAGTCTTATGTAATTTTTGGCTCACTTTTCATTGTTTTAAGAGTAAAATACTCCAAGAAAATTAAAAGTACAACAATAAATAGTAAATAGTAGATTGTAGTTGAAAATGGTTGATGACAAAAAAAAGTTGCAACCTTTATTTTTTTCTACATCCCCCTAGGGTCTTTCACTTAATTATAAGGTTCTTTTTCTCTTTTTAACTGTTTACCACCATCAAAGTAATTATTCACCTCTTATTCTCTATTATTCTCCCTTGTAATCACATCATATCTTCCTCAACATCAAATTCTTACTTCTCAAAAATAAAGGTTTAAATTGAAACTTGATTTCCATTTTCATTGCCTGCTTTGCTCTTCATGAATTGACAGCCGAGTTGACATTATTGAATCTAAAAAGTTCGCATATAAATTATGATGTGATTTGATTTTGAGGCTTCAAGAAATCGCTGCATCACCTTTCTCCCTTCTTCACAACATCTTATGGGAAATCTAAATGCATACCACATAATTCTTATGAATTTACATATCTAAAACCTAAAATTTCATATTTACATAAATAATACTTCGGTGACATGAATTTACACATAAAAAGATGCATTTCAATTAAAAAAGTAAATAATAGTAGTTTTTTTGCCGTGGTATCAAAGATTTGAGTGATATGCATGAAAATATAAGTGTCAAATGTGTAAATAAATAAAAATTGTGTGGAGCTATACGTAAATAGCCATTTCTTTATTTGCTCGATCCATATACCCTCCTCACAAATTCTTTAAGGATAGCAAAGTTGCAGTCTTTGCGGCTTTAGGCCTTCAACTTCCCTGTCATAATAATTTTTTCAGTGCTTTTTCTTCTTTTTTTTCATTGTTCTTATTTACAACAAATAATCAAAAAAATAGAACAAATTTTGAAATTCAAAAAAAAAAAATCAAATTTAATTTTTTAAATCATTAGAAAAAAAAATTTAAAACATTGAATTTTGCTTGGAATTTGAATTCAAATTTCAAAACAAATTTGCAAATTGGTTGTGCAACAATCCTAACCTTTGTTTTCTTGTTAAGCAATAATTTTGTTTATATCCTTCATAAGCCTCCATTTAAATTTCAAATTCAATTTTGAATTTGAATTTGAAATTAAAGTTTAATTTCAAAAAATGAATTAAATTTTTCTCTTACTGTTTCTTCCACATTTTATTTGAACCACCGTAATTTAGCTTCTCAAAACTAACATAATCCTCCTTGTTTCCAAACACAAAACTTGACCTAATCAAACCAAATTCATCTAATTTACATAACCCAACCAAAGTGACCAAATCAATCAAGCATCTAAAACCCAAACATGAAACAAACGAAATTTAAAAAAAAAAAAGAACTTCCAATTCTACAAAATAAGAGCACTTAATGATAGCCTCAAAACTTCTAAATCATATATTTCAAGTGATGATGATGCTATTCTTAAGGATCTATGATGAAATCCTTCAAATAACAAAAATGATGATAGGGCGGTCATTTCCATTCATCTCTTCCTCAATATAATTTCTTATGCATCACTTCTTCTTTGTGATGGATTTCCCATTATCTCTCTTTTTCAAGATTAACTTCACTAGCTCCATAATATATGATTGTGGACCAACAGTATTTACTACAACAATACATTAATTCTTTAAAGTAGAGTTCTTCAAAGGTAGAGGAATTCAACAGTATGGGCATCTACTTATGGTTATCATCCTTGCAGATTCATTTCTCTCAGTTTCATCAATGTTTTTGCAAATGTCCTTATCCTCATTCAACGTTGTGTTATTTGTCAGAGATAAAATACATTGGCTTTTTTTTTCATTATTGGCGTCTTCTCTAGGAATCAATTACTATATCTTTCTCCTAGTAATAAGGTTTGTCATTTGGTTATTTATCAAGGGTAGAACAATTTTGTCATTGCAGGCCTGTTTCTCATTTCGGCATTGTTTTCAGGGTTAGATTACTTGAGAAAATTAGGAGTAATCTCATAAATAGGAGGCCCTAGATTGTTGTGGAGGACAGTTAATGATAAAAAAAATACATATTTCCTTTCTTTGACAACAACTATGAGGTCGCACTTTCTCCAAAGAAGTATTCTCTCTCTCTCTCTCTCCCTTCCCTCCCTTCCCTCCCTCCCACCATCTACTCAACTTA